AGCCGCTTTTTGCGACGCTTGCGACCGGATTCGGAGCCCCCGGGGGCGTCGGCATCTGCCCCCGACAAGTAGCGCTTCAGATACTCGGCCTTGGAGAGCGGCGGGGCTGCCGCCATGCCAGCGGCGAGAGCGGGGTGACGGCTCGGCGCTGGGGTCAAAATTCTGAAACGCAAAACGGACGGCGGTAGGGAGGAGCCAAGACCGGAAGTGACGAAGTGCTCTTGGACCTGCCGAGACTGACAGGTGTGAGCACGCGCAGGTTTACCGGTACCATGCATGCCTCCCGGGTCCACTCTCTACATCCTGCTGAGGGCACAACCACGTTTCTACTGTTTGTCCGTTCATCTGCTCATTCAACAGACTATGCAGCAAACGGTGTTATAGCCGTGCGGCTATAGACACGACCCCTACAAAATCTCTGCCCCCAGGACCTTCAGGAGGGCCATAATGTAGTGGTTAAAGACATAGGCTCCCGGCCTGGCCTTGTGGCTCAATTGGCTGAGTTAGCTTAAGAGCACGAGCTCTGAGCAACAGCCACTGGTTCCATTCCCACATGGGCCAGTGATCCTGTGCCCAAGCTCAGCTGCCAACAGGTGGCAGGATGGCTCAACTGGTGAGCCTGTTCGATGGTGGTCTACACCTGCCCACAACTAAGATTGTGACACAGCACCTTGAGCTTAGAGGCCACGAGCTGCAGATGGGCAGCCAGATGGCGACTGGCACCCTCCACAACTAAGATTGAAGAACAATTTGGTCCCTCTCCCCAATTCCCCAACACTGTTACCCTCCTCCAATTCCCCAATTAAAAACAAAACAAAACATAGACTCTGTGTATCTAAGTTTGAGTTCTGGTTCCATAACTTCCTAGCTCTAAGATTTTGGGCAAGTTATTTAACAAATTGGGGATAATAACAGTACCTAACTCAATGATTGCGAGGACTGAGATAATATTACTGTATAAAGTACTTAGAACAGTATCTGACATGTAGAATTATGTTAGTTATTTTTATTGGTGTATGTTTAGGTGGGGAGGAATCTGCTCTAATAGGCATCCAAGTACCATTCAAGAGAGGAAGTCAAGAATTCTAAACCAAACGCAATTACTATGAAAAATACGGAAGCTTCTAATTTCTCCCACATTTGATTTTATTGATAGTCCCTAGCTATCTCTTGTATAGAACTTTTGCAATGAAAAGGACGTGGATCTATTTTTAGCATAGCAAAAGAGAAAAGCTAGAAAGATTGAATTCTAATACATACTTAAGTTTTGGTGGAAAGAACTTTTCTTGTGGACATGAAGAGCTTTACTTGAATTATCTCATTTAACCCTCACAATCCTCAGTTTTATTATCCTTATTTTACAGATGAGAAAACTGCTTGAAGAGGTTAAGAAAGTTGCCCAACTTCACACAGCCAGAACATGACCAACGCTTGGGAGCAGAGACTAGCAGAGTGGGGTGCAAGAGGTAATCCAAATTTTTGAAATAAAATATTAGGTATTTTCTTTTTATCTCATCATGTAGAAGTTAAATTTTTGTTACTATCTTAAAGTACATTGGTCAAGAAGGTATTGTTACACTTTATAAATACACATATCTTGGGATACACTTTCAAAAACACACAGCAGGGACGAAGGCTGGTGATGCTGCGCCCTCTACAGCTAAGATGGTGAACAACATCGACCTAGAGCTGGGCTACTGTGAGTCACCGGCAATGTAGTACGCTGCAGCAGGGCTGCAGTGGGCTGCCGGGAGCTGGCATGAGCTGCCGTGAGCCACTGTGAGCGGCTGTCCAGTGGCCAGCAACCAACTGCCTCCCCTGGGAAGAGTGCAATAATACCAACATGGGCCAGTGAAGCGACATCCTCCACAACTAGACTGAAGAACAAAAGGACAGCAACTTGTCTGTCCCCCTTCCCCAATTCCCCAATAAAATCTTTTAAAAAAAACAAAAACAAAAACAACCACAGCAAAACAGGTTTGGAGATCACTGCCCTGAAGGATAAACTTTTAACCACTGGGCTACACTGAGTAGTCACAGCACAGGTCTAGAAAAAAATAACTGGCTGAGCTGCTGAGGGCTGCTAAGGTGACACAGAGGGCTTCACTAGCTGCAGGGCCACACAGGTGCCCCATACACAACCTGTCTTGGCTGCTAGTTCACTTTGGTGTACCTCAAACAACTCCACAGCCCTGCCTCCACCCTAGTGTCAGCAGACATTTAGCAAGTCTCACATTTCTGCTCCAGAGAACATTAGCAGTATACAAGCCCTCTCAGCCGCATTAAGCCATCTCCTGTCCATTTTTGTCTTCAGTTTCACCGTTACTCAGTACCCAACCTTAGCCACACAACATCCAAGCTCATATCCCAACCCTCATGTCTGCCTCATAGGGCAGTTAAACAGGTTTTCCCTCCCTCTGTAGTTGCATCTAATAAAGCAAGTGCAGGAACCATGGACTTGACCTCAAAATGCTTAGAGTTCAGGTTTCTGACTGGCCTGGGTTTGAAGACTGCCTCTTAGAAGGTTTACTTCCTTCTTGAAGTTACCTAACTTCCTTACCTGTAAAATGGGAATAATTTTATTTATAGCTATTTTTTCCCAGAAGGTGTTTAAAGCAGAAAGAGACACTTTAGAATTTATGAGAGAAAAATACGTCTAAAAGCACTTCACAATTAACTCACGAATCCTCACAAAACTCATGCAAAGTAGATGCCTTTATTATCCCCATTTTACAGGCCAGGAAACTGAAGCATTAGAGGTCCCAGTACTAAAGCACTTCTTAAATCCTGAGGTGGCCACACAGAACCAACACTGGCTCTTTTCATAGTTGAAAACACTCATTTTCTATAAAGAGTACAAGTGTACAGTCTTTAAAATAAGAATAAAGCCAAATGTCTTCAACACCACTGCCCTGAATTTAAGGAGAGGTACGATTTCCTGCAATGTGCAACAGGCAACTGACATGCCAAAGTGTACAAAAGAAACATACTGACAATATTAAAACAAGTCTTACTAAACCCATTAAAACTTTCAGCTAGCAAATTGCCCTTCATACTTATTCCATTCACCTCATCACAACAGATGTACACTCAATAACTGTGTGTTGTTCTAATGGCTATATTTAACATGCTTGAAATATAAGAAGTGCCCTCGCAAAGGAGCTCCTTTTAATATAATCACAAACTTCCCACTTAAATTTTACCCTCATAGTTGTGAAACAATCTACATGTGCATGGGCTGCCACTTTGATATTTCACCTTTTGGCCTTAGAGCAGGACCCTTCCCATACCTCGTTACCTCCATGCCACCTCCAGTGCCCTAACAAGGCTCAATCCAGGATGGAAGGTTTAGAAAAATCTGCTGAGGGTTACCATGTAGCAGTTTTTATTAACCATATGCTGTATGCTAGAGGCTGTGGGATAAGACGCAGTTAGATGTAAGCTATACCTAACCCATCCCGTCAGGCTATATGAAGTAAGACTAGAGTTGAGTGTAAAACTGAAGGCTGCAAGGCCTGGGCCCTCTCAGAACAGGAAGTACCTTAGCTGGATTATCCCAGCCTGGTACCTCCTCCGTCTAGGCGGGTTCAAAACTCAGGCTTCTAAAACTCATTTCCCAGTAACTGGTTGCAGTCTGACACACCAACCAAACTCACAAGATTCAGTACTAAACCAGAGTGCCATTTTTTTCCCTTCACAATGGGAGATGATCGAGACACTGGGACCCATCTTCCCAGCACAATCATCCCATAGGGAAAGTCATTCAAGAGACCAAATGATAGATCAGGTCGCCTGGTGTCAGATCCCCAAGCCAGTTGGAAATACATCTGTGGACAACCTATTAGGGTAGAACACTTGCTTAGAGGTCTATTCAAAGAATGGTAGCTTTATAGTTTGAGTCCATTTGCTACCGCAAAATCCAAATTCTCAAAACACTTTACTGTTGCCCTCACTTAAATACAGGTATGGGAGTCAGTCCCCACATGAAAGTAGTAAGATGCCAAAAAATTCAATATGGAGAGGTATGTGAAAACAGAACCTTTGGAAACAAATACATTAGGAAAGAGGCAGGTGGCCGAGATATGAAAAAAGGAATGCTCAGAGAGGAAAGCGGGGGTGCAGAATCACAGGAGCCAAGAGAAGGGTTGAGGAAAGAGATGGTCCACTGTCAACTGCGACAGAAATAAAGAGAATGTGAACATTTTCAAGTGGAAAATCCCACTTGCGGCCTATGAGAAGTTTGAGTGGTGAGAGCAGATGAGCGTGATTACTAAGTCATCTCTTACTAGGCAATTCTTCAGAGTTCAATTTGCAGCACAAAGCACTGAGGTTTGCCATAGCATCTCAATCAACAGGTCTTTACTGAACAAACCCCTGCAGACAGCTGGTTAATGCAGCGCCAAGAGCACCAGCTGGGGAGTCCAGGGCCCTGGGCTACAGCAGCGACTGGGTTGTGCAACTGGAAGCAGCTCCCTCCCTCTTGGTTGAATCTGTTTCCCCATTTGTAATTGAGAGGGGGATCTCAAATACCTCTAACCAGCTCCAATATTTTCCAACCTCAAAGCTTTTGCATTTGCAGTTCCCTCTGCCTGGAACTCTCTTCCTTCATCTCTCCACAGGGCTTATATTACCTTACCTCCTTCTCAGCTTTGCCTAAATGTCAAAATTCTCACCTTCTTAAGATCTTCCCTGACTACTCTATTATTCACACCCTTTCCCTGTTTTTACATTCCTCCATAACACTAATCACAATATGACAGACTGTTTTACTTACGAGTTTATCATCAATCCCAACCCTAGCCCAATGTCAATTTTCCCCACTACACTTTAAGCTTCATGAAAGCAGAGCTTTGTTTTGTTCACTGTTCAGTGGTGTGCCGGGCACATCTACGAAGGAATGAATGAAATGCAAGCTCCAAATTACAGTGGAGAAAATTTTCTTCAGTAGGTTGAATTCTACCAGCATGATATCAAATAAGGACAGTGAATTCAGAGGCCAGTGCTGTTTGAAAGCCACCATTTTAATGAGAACTTCATCTGTGCTGGGACTCCCTTTCCTCAGAAGACTCCCTTCCTGTTCAAAGTCAGTCAGTGTTTTATATACCCCAAATCAACACCCAAACTCCAGCTGTAGCTGTCTTCCATCTTCTTCAGCTTCAGAGTGGTAACTGTAGAGGACAGAACTTTGTGTGGATGGAGGACAAAAGACTTGTCGGAAAAAAGTGATAATGACATTCCCCATGGTTCATTTCCAGGTTTCTTTCCAAGCTGCTTCAAAACCTCCACAACAAGGTCAAATAACCCAACAGGCTTGCACTTGCATCACTACCTGTTTAGAAAGTGTGCCTAGATCTCTGACTCAGACCACATGAGCAAGGCCTGGTGGAGAGGACACTCCCAGCCTTTCCCAATAGTAATAAATAAACGTGCGATCTGAGCAGTGCTGGAGGCTGAAGGCTGGCCAGGCAACCGCCCACTGCTACCGCTGTGGGACCAGGCCTGTCTCATAGCCCTCCGTCCTCATGTCATTGAGCCCTAGCTCTTCATTTTGATCAAAGGTGCGCTTATAACGTTCCACCTTCATCTCAGGATCATCTTCAGGTGCATACACATTCTGCAAGGCCAAGGACAGATAATCAGTGCCTGTGCCATCCTGCTATCCTCCCTCCCCCAGGCGGCTTCCAACTCCCACTTTCCCAGGAACTCAGTGATTTTCTTATTCGCTCAGCACTGCCAATTCCCCATGACGGCTCCACTATTGGGAAGCAACAGAGCCCACATGGGCTGGGAGTGGGACCCACCAGCTCCAGGCAGAATTAGGGAACAGCCTGCCTAAAATACTTTCTGTTTGCACCTTCTTATGAACACTATAGCCATAGTCTTAATCGTGAAGAAACCTTAGGACAGTTTTGCCTGACCCATAACAACTGCTCAACAAATGTTAATGTTACTATAAATCATCAGAATATTTCCCCAGTCAGCTTAATGCCTTTCACTTTTCCTATCTTGGGTCTCTGGACAAGGCATCATCTCTCCTCACTCCACAATCAGATTTGCAGGATGAAAACTCCATTGCAGGACTTAAGAGTGGAGACAAGAACTAGACTACAGAAAGAAGTATCTGTATCTGTACTCCTGAAGTATCTAGGAGTATCCTTTTTCCCCTCTTGACACACAGTTACAATCCCTCCCACCTTCCCCCCTTTTCTCCCTTATGTTCCAACTTCTGCTAAGAGGTTCCCTAATAAGAAGCAGTTCATTTAGAACCAAGTCTCTCAGTTTCTGGGGGACTGATACATATTCAAGGAAGGTCAGAAAACATACCTCCATGAAATATTAGGGAAGGTCTACTATACCTGCAAGTAGCTGTTTCCTGCTGGGTCATTCATAATAAAATGGACCTTCATTTTACCCTCGAGGATCTAAAGGAGAAAGAATACAGTATATAAATTTTACATAGTAGGAAGAGGTTATGTCTGCCAGATGATAACCAACACAATTTATTGATACACTGCAGTATGCCCAAAAGTTTCATGAACTGGTGAAATGCGGTACCACTAGAAGTGAAGTGGAGAGTATCTAAAATAAGAATGGTTTGAAATCTATTTAAGAAGCAACTTGACACCCCCAATCTCATCTCCCACTCCAAACGGGCCAACAATTGCCCTTCTTTTATCCCAGCAGAAGACTGAAGGAGTCTGTGGAGAAGTTGTCACAACATTATATGGACTGGAAGTCACTGGCCCAGTTGAGGCTAGAGGGAAAGGAATCAAGACAGAAAACTAAATGATATACCCTGATTGGAAGCAGACATACATACACCCCAAGCCCTCTTTCCACACTCCGCTCTCAGAACACTGCCAACCGAGCCTTGATCCTCAGGCCAGGAAATGGAACACCCACTGATGGGAATCTGACCAGCCCAAGAAGAAAGACCTACTGGAACAATCTCCACAAAATGGCTAAGCTAAATCCCATACAATAGCCCAATGTCAACAAGACTCACCCTCACTCAGGTTTTTCAGTCCTCTACTTTTAAACAGACAAAGATTACCAGACATCTGAGCAAAGCCCCTAACACTAAAAGACAAAACGTTACATGGAAAAAAAAAAAAAAAACTTAGAGGAAACAGAAACAATGCAAGGAAAATAGAGTATAAAAAACAAAACAAAACAAAACAAAAAACTCAACATTAATATTCTCAAGTAGGAAAAAACACTACATCCTTAAAAGGGGATACTATTTTTTTTAAAGGCAGAGAGAGAGTATTCAAAGACCAAAGAAAGCTCTTAGAAAATAAAAATGTATTAGCAGAAATGAAAATCTCAATTGAAGAGTTAGAAGATATATTCCTAGAATAGAACAAACAAAAAAAAACTGGTCAAAGTAAATTACAGAAAACCAGAAAGTCAGTCTAATATTCCAAAACACAGGGGTTTCAGAAAGAACAGAAAGGAAGCAATCCTCAATAGAATGATTTTAAAAAGCTTCCTAACTGAGCCACATGAATTTCCAGATTCAAAGGACCCACCAAGTGCTTAGCACAGTGGTTGAAAATTGACCCCACATCCGAAATTTCACATCACAGGGGACAAAAAAGTATCACAAGAATAGGTCACATACAAAAAATCAGGGATCAAATGCCTTAAGACTTCTCAATAGCCAAGCTGGGACGTAGAAGACATTAGTTCAATGTCTTCAAAATTCTGATGAAAATTATTTCCATCCTAAAATTCTATTTCCAGGCATTAATCAGTTTAGTGTGAGGGTAGTAGAATAAAGAAATTTTCAGATATGTCCCAGAAATCTTATTTCCCATGCTCTTTCTCAGGAAGCTACTGAAGAAGATGGTCCTACAAAATAAGGGAGAAAACTAAGAAAGAAGACAACATGGGATATCAGAAAGCAGGAGAATCTCCAACATTGTTGGTTAAGTGTTTAAAAGGTAGCAAGAAAGGTTATGTAGCCTCTTGTTCACTGGAGCCCCAAGATTACACAAGAACTGACTGGCGGGAGTCCTCTCACCTGGTCCAACTTCTGGCTAAACTCCTGCAGTTTCTCCGTCTGGCCAGGACTGGAACTGTCACCCAGTGTGAAAGGGTTCTTGGTCACCTGCAATAAATGTCATCCAAACTGCTAGAATACTGCCTCTATGTTTGATAGGTTTGACCATAAACCTGCCGGAGGTGGCAGGTGCTATCCAGTCAGGGAAGCTTGGTCTCCATTTATCCCACACCGCCTTTCTGACCTAGGCAGCTACTCCTGAGAGCATATAGATTAATCTGCCAAGGTGACAACTGACAATATGAAATGAACTTAAAAATGTTCTTACAAGTTCTAGTCCTAATTTGAAGTAGAAATGCAAAGTAAAGTATAATTTACAAAGACAAAATGCCTGACAACTGAGAATCAATTAAATGGAAAGATTCATCAGGAGGATAAATATATGGGCAAAGTCAAGACACACATATATCGAGGATGCCAAAAAAGCCATATACACATTTTAAGAGACGTTATCTATGCTGAAGTAGTAGTTTGCCGTAATCAGAAGTGTCTGGATGCTGATGGTAACCACTCTGAGCACCTCTTGTAATTGCAGGAGTCAAACGTGACCTGTAGTCATCTTTTGCTATTGGTATATATTGAGTATTACAATTTTAATCCAGTTTTCCTTTCTTAAAATGTGCACACATTTTTTTGGCAGCCTCTGTACGTACGTTGGGGAGTCATAGGTGCTTAAAGGACCCTCATCCCTCGTTTTACAGTGAAAACGAAAACTACACAATATATCTGTTGGGTCGTTGGGAAAGTCATGACATATTTTTCTATGTTTTTCAATGCAAAAAATGTGTCATGACTTTCCCGACGACCTAATACATTGTCTCAGAGGTAAGGCCTGGGAATTTCCATTCAGAATTTCCCATAAACTTATCTTTACAATACAAAATAATATTTAAGTCTCTTAAATCAGCTTTAAGGCAAAGAAACCTCCCAGTTATCAGCTCCAAAAACTAGGGCATCTGAGGTCTTCCAGCCCCTTCCCCACAGGTACACTGCTGAAGCAGCCGTGCACTACACTCAGGTGACTCACCAGTTCCCGGATATCTTTTAGCAGCCCCTCCAGTGTGGTGAACTTGCCCCCGAGGGCAGCCATTCCCAGTTCAAATTCCAGTTCTGGGATTTCCACACTACATGTCTCCGACTATGAGATAAGAGGTCAAATGAGGCTTTAAGTCAGGAGCTGCTAGAGAAAGCTAACCAGAGCCCTCTTGCCAATTTAATACCACCAGTGACAGTTTGGGGACAAAGCCAGCTATCCCAGTTTTCTGACTCTTCCAGTTAAAGCTAGACTCACTCCTATCCATGTGAACCAAAGGAATGGAACCAAACTAATAAAGGGACACGGAGTTATGGCTCCAAGCTGTCAGGTATCCTGTCATCAGAGGCCAGACACAAGAGCCTTTAAAGCAGCGGTTCTCAACCTTCCTAATGCCGCGACCCCTTGATACAGTTCATGTTGTGGTGACCCCCAACCATAAAATTATTTTCGTTGCTACTCTATAACTAATTTTGCTACTGTTATGAATCATAATGTAAATATCTTTTTGTTTTCCAATGGTCTTAGGCGACCCCTGTGAAAGGGTCATTCGACCCCCAAAGGGGTCGCGACCCACAGGTTGAGAACCGCTGCTTTAAAGACACTGCAGGCAACAGGCCGCCAAGTCATCAGAAAGAGCCTATGGGTCACCTTCTGAATCTGCACTTCCTACCATGGGTTATCTCTGCTCAGGGATCCACCCTCAAACCCCTGGGGTTAAGGAGGTACCTCACAGTTCCAGGACATAATTTAAAAAGAGAATTTCCCCTAGCTCAAGACAAGTCATGAAAGGAGAACAGTCACTTTCCCAAGCAGGCTGTTACCTTGAGCAGGTCTCTGGTCATATCTGAGGGATCTGTGACGTGGAGGCTGATCCTGGTGCCCAAGGGTTCTACCGCTCCTCCAGACTTCACCTGTGCGGACGACAATAGTCAGGAGCAGCACACAAGACCAATCCTCACCTGGTGCCGGGAGACCTCGGAGGGTAGGCTCGGACCTCCCATCAGGCCCATTAATAACTACCAAGCACAGAGCCTTCTAAACCAATACACCAAGAGTTGGCCAGGAGCAGAGTGCCCAGCACCAGTAGCCTACCAAAACTTACCCCAAGTTACCAAGAAACTCTGAATGTACCTTTTAAAAAAATGATTATTGGGGTTGAAAGGGACTTTCAGCTGCATCCAACATGTGGATCCCCTTTATAATATTCTGGTTTAAGGATTTAAACAGCTTATACTTGCATACACTCAGGGAAAGGGAATTTACACCCTCTGAGGCAGCCCATTCTATTTTCAGACAGATCTAGAAAATTTTACTGAGTCACAATCTGCCTCCCTGCGCTTCCACCCCTCTGAGGAATGGGTCAAAAAGTGGGTCTCCCTGTTCCACACAACCAAGCTTTAAAATGTCTTAACCCTCCGTCGGGCGCAACTGATCTCACAGATTCATTGTACACAAAGATGCTATGAAATACGTCTTCACTGTACTAAGTCACAAACACAACTGGCAATACGTTATGGTAGAGGGGGAAGATACAGAAGTGATGAGTCACAAAACTTAACTGTCAGATATTTGAAAATTTGTGTGCAATGAATCTGTGAGATCAGTTGCGCCCGAAGGAGGGTTAAACGACTTATGCTATCTCTAACTTTTCTTCTCTAAGCTAATTCCCTGTTCCTTCAAGGGCTCCTCACCCTACACTAAGACTAAGAGAAAGACCCCATCTCTACCCCACTCATCCCAAAGATTTAGGAAGGATGAAAGACAGAGGTTACCCTCAAGCTAGTCTTCTTCCCAAACAATGGAGCCCACTTACCTCATTGGTCCGATGACCGCAGTTCTCGCAGTTAGTAGCCATGATGATAACCTCCTTAAAGTGAGGGATTTCTGTAAGATGGAGTTAAGAAAATCTGCTTCCAGGACAGCAAGACCACCCTCTGGGGAAGAAAAAAATCCAAACCCAAACACACAGTTGCTGCTCCCATGACTACAGGAAATAGATCCCAAGAAGTCGCCTAATTTAATCCTCCAGAAGAGGACAAGGTCGAAACCCACGATGACCCATTACAAATGTTTGCAGACATGGCCCAGGCCACACACAGGAGCCTACACACTACAGCTTAATTCTCTCTTTGAACCCAAAAGCCCAGGTGCACAGTCTCATCAATGGCAACATCCTCCTCATCACTTGGAATAAAACACGTGCTTTCCATGACGGGAATACTCCTCGGCCTGAGTATAATCTTCACGCTAAGTCAAGGTAAGAGTCACATAAGCAGCAACCCTACTGCCTGACAAAAGATACGAACTAGCTTCATGTTGGTCTGAGCCGGAGCATTGCATTCTGGGCAGTTTGTGTTGAACTGTAGCACCTGGAACACAACATGGGGATGTAGGGTGAGCTCTCCTAGGCAGGTGAGCCCTGTCAGGCTAAAGACATTCAGGTGGTATGCTGATGATTGCCTGTGATGGTGGGAAGAGAGCCGCTGAACGGCATCAGTCTCAGCCCACAACTCTGCTCCTTCCTCCACAGCAGCCAATGGGACTCACTTCATTTCTGAGATCTTCCTCTTCTGGCTTCTTTTCTGGTGCTTCTGCCTAAAGTAGCAGAGATGCAAATCACATAATGGCACACATACTTCAGCCTCCCCTACACCCTGCCCTGGAGTGAGAGAAAATGTTCTGGCTTGCTTTCGTCAGCTTGCCACCTCATGAGTTTAACAGACAAGCTAGAAAGCAAAGCCCCAATCAAAGGAAGAATAGAGCTTAAGATCACAGCCACTGCCATCCTTTATTGTAAAGTTTACTCTAAGTTTTTGACATGAGCTAGGTGAGAAGCACAAACATGCTGAGCTAGGGTGCACGAGGCAGCAGCAGCAGCAAGTAAGTTTCCACTAACTCCAAGCACTCTTCTGGTTTCTTCAGGCCACTTACCTGGAGCCCCAGCATCTCTTGCTGCTGTGGAGTCCGGTTATAGTGTGTGATCACCAGGGCATCATCTTTCCGGGGAACATGTGGGTTTTCCACAAAGCTATTCCCTGAAGGATCATCAATGATCTAACGGATGGGTAAGGAGTAATTACAAGAAGTTATGTGTGATCCTCCGCCTACCATCAGACCACTCAGACACCACAGTGGAAAAAACCCGGACAGTCTTAATGGTCTCTCCTCCCCTAAATCTAGGACACCTAGACTCCCTCAGTACTCACCAGAGTGAAAGGGGAGGCCACATGCTTTAGCTCTTTCAGTTTGACAATGAACTCATCAATTCTTTCAGCTATGGCGTTTTCATTTGCCTGACAAGAACAGAGAGTAAAAGCATCAGCCCTGGTGACAGACCTTATGCCCCAACTCCCTATCATGCCCACATCACTTCCATCAGGAAGTCACCTGTCAACTTGAGTGGGAACAGAGAGACTCAGACTTCACATTAAGATATAGCAAATAGTACAAAGTTTATGGGTGGTGCCAGATGAGCCTCAGTTTCTCACTAACTCAACCATTTAGCCCAGGCACTCACGCCAGGTTAAATAAATCAGAGTCCTCTCATGGGGCTCCCCAGCCAGTTAGAAAGACAGATGACTAAACATGCAATTATATTATTTGTCATAATGAATATAAGAGAAAATGGAACACTCAAAAAGCACTGATAAACCTAAGAGGATTAGAACAGGCTTTTCAGAAGTAATGTTACACCGTCTGTCTGAGGTGAGGCCTGAATATACATTGGAGGAAGGGAAGTGGAAAAGACAGTAGGTAGAACATATGCAACATCCTGGAAGCTATAGGATCACCATAAGCTTCCCCTAAAAGTTCTCCAACATTCAGTCAGAGGCAGTTTATCTACATCTAAAGCTGAACACTCTATTCAGACACATATGAGATGTGATCAAAAATGACAGTGAATGTTTAAATAAAAAAATTTATTACAGTAAAAGACACATTGTCATTTATTCCCCTCAAAATACTCCCCCTTGCTTCGAATTCACTTATCCCATCGTTCTTGCCACTTTCTGAAGCAGCTCTGGAAGTCCTCTTTCATGAGTGTCTTTAATTGCACTGTCATTGCTGCCTCGATGTCCTGACTCGATTCAAAACTTTTACCTTTCATGGTCACTTTGACTTTGGGGAAGAGCCAGAAGTCACACGGTGCCAGACCCAGTGAATAAGGTGGATGAGGACACACCGTAATGTTTTTATTTGACAAACTGCCATATACCAAAAGCGATGTGTGACATGGAGCGATCATGATGGAGGATGATTTATGGCACACTTTAAAACACACCTTCTCTCAACTGTAGCTCACACCCAACTGACTGCACCAAACAAGTTGAAACTTGTCACTGTTACTAAGGTTCGATGCGCCACTTCCCATATTGAAGATCCCTTTCTGTTGGATTGCATTCGGCAGCAGCATTCACCGTATCTTTTAATCACAATGAAAGGCTCTGTGTCACATATCACTTCTGGTACGCAATTTCTGTCAAATAAAAACATTACGGTGTGTCCTCATCCACCTTATTCACAGGATCTGGCACCATGTGACTTCTGGCTCTTCCCCAAAGTCAAAATGACCACGAAAGGTAAACGTTTTGAATCGATTCAGGACATTGAGGCAGCCACAACCGGGCAACTAAAGACACTCATGAAAGGGCCGGCCGAGTGGCGCGATGGTTAAGAACTGGCTTGGGACGCCAGAGGGCCCCGGTTTGGATCCCATATATGAGGGCCAGTGACACTGCTCTCTACAGCTAAGATGCTGAACAACAGCTCAACCTGGAGCTGGGCTGCCGTGAGTTGCCAGCGACGGTGTAGGCTGCAGCCCCTGTGGCAGTGGGTTGCCATGGGCTACTATGTGTAGCCAGCAGCCAGCATGAGCGGCCGTCCAGAAGCCGGCGACTGATCTGCCTCGCCCGGGAAGAGCTCAATGATGGTGCCAACTTGGGCCAGTGAAGCAACGTCCTCCACAACTAGACTGAAGAACAAAACGACAGCAACTTGTCTGTTCCCCTTCCCCCAATTCCCCAATAAAAAAAAAAAAATTTAAAAAAAGACACTCATGAAAGAGGACTTCCAGAATTACTTCAGAAAGTGGCAAGAACGATGAGATTAAATGTGTTCGAAGCGAGGGGGAATATTTTGAGGGGGATTAATGGCAATGTGTCTTCCACTGCAATAAATTTTTTTTAATTTAAACATTCACCATATTGTCTGATCACACCTCGTAAGTAATTATTCCTTGAGCTACTGCAGTCAGAAAACCCAGCTCACCCTTCGTGTAGGCTGATCCTGCTCCAGTCCAGAGATAGCTCGGTTGATCAATCCTTCAACAGTGGTCAGAGCTGGTGAAAAAGAAAAGACAGGTGAGTCTCAGTTCTGCCATCAAGAGCCTGTATGACCCAGGGCAATTCACTTGAACGCTCTGTGCCTTGATTTCATCTATAAAATGAGGAAGCTGGGAACAAGGTTCCACTCAGCTCTAATAACAGTGATGCTAAAACTCTGTAATGAGCACATCACAGTCTTATAATCACTACTATCCCAAGCTGTCTTATCTCAAGCTTTCTACTTAGGTTAAACCAATTAAGATCACAATGATTATGTACATGGCCAGTCCCATACACAGCCACTAGACCTGGCATCAGGGACTTGGCAAGCAAGTAAGATTCCAGCCAGCATCAACAACCCAGACACCCTGATCTTAAACTCACCTCCTTTCTGGCTAAAGGCAGGAATTTCGAAATCCAGCTCTGGGATCCTTATGGTGGCAGAGTCCGTCTTCACGACTTCTCTGTTCATGTCCTAGGCAAAAAGAAAAACTTTCAGTCCAGAGAGGCTGGCAGTCCAGGTTCTCCTCGAGAAATTCCAGACTGTCGTTCCTCCTCCATCAGACCCCAGCCCAGTTGTTTCTTCCTCTCTCCATTTAGGAAGGGTACAAACTACTCCTGCAGAAATAGTATTATACACATGGTGTGAGCCCCGCTCCCAAAATGGTTTGAGTCCTCTTCGCAACAACTGCTCACTTGATACCCTCTGACAACATTTACAAAGCACTTTCACAGTCTCTTCTCACCTGAGCGCGTGACAGCACCGACATCTTTTTACAAAGGAGAAAACTGAGGCTTGGACGCTTGGGATTTTTAGTCAAGGTCCGACGGTCCCCACCGCCTGGACCAGACCTCTGGCTCCAATGCCCAAGCTTTCTCTGGGGGCCCCAGGGTACCGGCTCTGGACTCCTCTCACCTCCGGGGCCCGGACGGTCAAAGCGTAGCACACTCCCTGGTCCTGGATCCTGCCTGCCGACTGGATCTCCGTGTTGTTCCAGCCACAATGCTCGCAGGAAAAAGAGCTCACGATGATTTCTCTGAAGAAGGGGATCTTAGTGAGCAGGAGGCGCGTCATGCCCTAGGGAAGCAGAAAGGAGCTAAGGTAAGAACCAGTGAAACCCCAGTTCCCCGTCTAGTGATCCCCGGGCATGCCTCAGCTCCGGGTCTCCAACTGGGCCCACCTGGAGGCGTCGCCAACCCCCCGCCGCCAGCCGCCTCAGCCCAACCCTCCCGCCGCCCGCGGCTGCGGCTCACGTTGCGGTAACAATTCATGCACAGCGACTCGATCTCCGTGGGCTGCTGTTCATCGTCCTCGGCGCTGATAGGCCGGAACAAGCGTCCCGGGGCGGGAGCCAGGGCCGGGGCGGGCGAGGGAGCGGCAGTAACCCCCGGAGGACCCGGCTCCACAGCGGCGCTGGCCGACATCTCCACCACGCGCAGCTCAGGCGGCGACTTCCGGCTTCCGCTCCCCTCGTGGCCCCGCCCTTTCCTCCGACACACCCTCCAGCTGCCGCCCCCTCCCTTCCTTAAAGAGGCCGCAGACTCTGGGCCTTTAAAGAATAGCACGTTTCCATGTTGCCGTGAATGTATGCTCTCGACTTCCATAGCCAGGCGGATTCAGGCTTTGCCTCCACCTCAGTTCAGGCGTCACTTCCCCCAGGACGTCCTCCCAGACCCAGGGCAGTGCTTTGCTTTTCCGCGACAGCTCCATCGATAACTATTGGCCATAAATCTGACTACAAGAGCCTTGACGGCAAGGGGTCAGGCTTGTCCCTCGGTGTCATTGAGGAGGTGCGCTCTGACCCGGGCTTCCTTCGATCCACTGTTGGACCACACGCTGCTTCGGCTCTAGTCCCTCAGTCCCGCAATCATTGACTTCCTTTGTGTTCTTCTCTCCCCCTATTTCCTGTCTTCATAAACACTTGCCCAAATTCCAGCCTCAAATACACAGCCCTCAGTTTTACTTCCATCCCTTCATCCCCACCACATCTGACCCCTTCCAGTTTCTTAACTAACAACAGTAAAAACTCTCTTTTGTGAGGGTCAAGTTTTCCAGCACTTCCTCTCCCTCGGCACCCCTCTCCCAGTTCTGGTGCTAAATCTAGAATGTCAGGGAAGAGCTCAGTCTGAGGGCGTGATGATGCCAGGTTCATGAGGGGTCTGTGTTATGAGGGAGTGTGGAGGTGCTGAGAACCCTGTGCAGGGCAGGCTGAGGCTGGGCGGACATTCCAAGGGTCCTGGACTGTGTGTGTTTACCCTTTTCTCTTCTCCCCACTTCACCCACCCCCAATTTCGGAGTTCTCAGGAGCTTTGTTGCTCCCAAGTGAATCTGTATGTAGGGGATGGGGTTTTAAGGGTTTGGTGGTCCCAAGAAGAGGGTCAGTGTAATAAAAAGCGGCCAGTCAAACTCTGAAACAGAAGAAACAAAGGCAAGAGGCCACCTCAGGAGTCTGCACTTCATGCATATTGTCCTGTGGTGAGCAGGCTGGTGAACAATGCAGGATGCAAATGAAGGGCCTCTAACCCAGCCCCACCCTCAGAAGTGATATAGAGCTCTCATCTAAAGCGGAACACAGTCAGCGTCAGGCCCCTCTAACAGACCTGGACTGCGGTGGGATCAATGAGAAAAAAACAGCTAGGGATTGGAGTGGCAGATGGGCGTGCTTTGCAGATAGTAGTGAGGGCACTGCTTTTTAGACGTGGTTCAAATGAGTCACACCAGGCAAATGAGCTTCCATTATAGGCATCTATTTAATTTGAGTCAGAAGTCTAGACTTCAGCCTGGGAGTCGGGAGGGAGGGGCCAGAAATGGGGAGGGCACACAGTATGCTCCCCAGAGGGTTTAAGAAGCCCCCACAGTTTGGAGGGCTTGGTCAGCTGTTTAAATGTAGAGCTATGTAAGGAAACACAGGCTCGGCTCCCTCCCATCATAACTCCCACCATTTGTACCCACCAGCATCAAAGCCAGCAGGGATACACACACACACACACACACACACACACACACACACACACAGGCATCATCACATGCTCTCATCATATTTTCCTCCTTTCTCTCTTCTCTTCCCCCAACAGAAGCTGTCATGGCAGCCCTGGGGAGAAAAGAGCTCCTCTCTGTGGACCTGCTGTGGCCACCAGGGGGCCAGAAGCGATCAGAGTCAAGCTCTGGCATGAAAAGGCACAGGCTCCCAGCACCATGGCAACAGGCTTGCACATAATTACCCTTTCATAGAGTGCCTCTCTCCCTTCCTACTCCAGCCAACTCGAAATGGAGCAACTCATGAGGATTCCCAAATGAGCATGGGAAGCAGGGTTTGCAAAGCCTGGTGAGTGTAATGCATCCGGATTGGGGAATTGCAGGAGGCTGGATATGCAGGGGACAACAGCCCCTTCGGTGGCCTCACTATCCTGTGCAGGGCCCTCTACCCTCTGCCCAATAGGCCACTGTTAAGGACTGAGCCATGCTAGGGACTTAGGTCCTGGTCTCCCAGACAAGGAGCTGGGAAGTGGGCCTGGGCAAATAGACCCTCAGAGCTCCCCCAGATGGCCGGAATCATGGTCATGAAGGCTATAGTTTATGTCTTCCCACAGGTCGTCCAGACGGGCCTGCAGCTTGCTCCGGGCCTGGCTGTTGTCGGCTTGGAGGAACTCAGGGGCAAACGCGCTGTGACCTGGTGGAGGCGGTGCCAACTGCAGCTGGACCTCCTCCGTCTCCTGGTCAATCGCGCGGGTGAAGGCGGCGATCTGCAGGAATGTGTCGTGGCGGAAAGCCTGGAGTCGCTGGCGCACCTCCTGGGACAGCACCTGGGGATCCGGGTCCGGCCCTTCCTCCGCGTGGTCAGTGCTGGCGCTGGCAAAGGCGCTGAGCTCTTCGCGCAGCTGGTCTAGGTTCTGCTGGATGCGCGCGTGCAAGGCTTTGGCCTTGAGCGTGAGCTTGCGCGAGAGCACCTGCACACAGCGGCTGAGGCGTGCAGGGCTGGCGGCAGCGTGCGGCGCCACGCTGCGGTGCAGCTCCTGCACGTGGTGCCCGATGCCTGTCACCAGGCGCTGGGCGTACGGGTGGAACAACGCCTTCACGCGGCCTGTGTGGTGCATCACGCGGTTCTGCAGTTCCTGCAGCAGGCCCCGCGCCTCGTCCATGCCCCCCAGCAGCTGGGCCTTGGTGTCCTCTCCCACCAAGAGCAACTGCTCCTGTAGCTCCTGTACGCGCAGGGCTACCTGCTCCATCAGGTCCGTGGTGTAGGGCTTCAGCTGCTGTCTCAACCCCTCCAGGTTCCAGCCCACGCGCTCGTGCACCTCCGCCATGTAGGGCTCCAGGCGCGCCCTCACCTCCTCCAGCTCTTCCTGAAGCTGCTGCCGCATGCCCACCGGGTCGTGCGGGAGGCTGGGAGGCTCCCTCTCTTGCCCACTCAGAGAGCCCAGCTTTTCCAGGAACTTGTCCATATTGTTGAGGTCTTGTTCAAGGCTGTCCTTCAGGCTCCTGGGTAGGGGGACAGACATCCATTCCAGACCATCAAACTGTCAGCCCCCATCATCTGCTTTGCCCCAGAGATATCGCTCACTGATCCTTTGGGGGAACCAAGGATGGAAGGCTGTGGCCCCAGAGTCGGGGCTCTAGTCCTACCCTCAGGCCAACCACATCTTACACAGGAAGTACAAACACATGGCACACGCAAATTCAGACCAACACTGCCCAAGGTAGCACAGATGCACCTGGACTCACACAATCCTTTCATTCTGGAAGGCGCGGTGGGGATCCTCTCTGCCGCTCCCAGGTCCCACGCCTCAGTGGGCATAGCAGATCAACGCGAGGCGAGGGGGGTGGGGGGGCTGCTGCTGGCAGAGGGCGCTAAACTGCCCAGGAAAGTCAGGACACCGGGCAGAACTAACACCGCTCTGTTCCTCGGTTCCAATGAGAACCGCGGAGGCTGAGGAATCAGTCAGAGCATCAACCCACTGCCCGGCTGTCTCCTCCCTTCCACCCGCACCCCTTGTCCTGACCACTCACGCAGGCTCCCGTGCCAGCTTCTGTCGCCGGGTCTGCTCCACTCTGCCTTTGTCCCCACTGCTCTGGCTGAAATAGTCCCAGAAGCCTTTCCGTGCCTCGGTGATTGAAAACGCTGTGGAAAGGGATGGGGGTGATTAAGAGCTGGGTTCCTTCCCCGAGGTGGACGGGCCCTTCAGTCCAGCCTCCACCCTCACCTCCACGTTGAAATCAGGGCTGGAGACCCACCTGAGAGGAGAGCCAGAGCCCAGGTCAGAACTGCAGCCATGCTTGCCATCACCTACTCTGAGAAGGAAGGCAAATGGAGGCCGGGTTAAGGTGAAGAAGCAAAGGAAGTGACATCTCCCAGGGGATTTGCCCAGAGGCCCCTCCCCTGCTCCAGGGGCAACCTGCCCCAAATCTGTGAACCCTTCCTGTGGGTGTAGGGAGCACAGAGCTGTTGGGGCTCAAGAGGACTGACCTAGGTGAGTATGGCTAGGAGGAAAAGAGTATGGCTGGGTGGGGCGTGAGGGGGGGAGGTCCTTTTTCACCTCAATCACATAATATGGAGTGTGGAGCTCAGACTGCTTTATAAAGGTTCCCCCACCACCACACTCCCCAGGCCCCAGGAGCACTCCCTAGGCTACATCTGCATCCCATTTCATGGCTGGGAAAACTGAGGTACTCCAAGGGAGAAGACTCTGCTAACGTACTCCAAGCATATGTCCTTAGTTCCCACCCCAGCTGCTGAGACCCCCGCAGTCCCCTCCCTTAGGACTCTGACCTGCAGCCCTCTGCCTCAGCTGCTCACCTGCTCAGTTCTGGGCACAGAGAGCAGATATTCCGCTTTATACTCCAGAGGCCTGGGCGTCTGGCAACAATTGTTCTGAGTAAATACCACGTGAAAGTTCAAAGAAGGATGACCTCAGCTGCCTCTCAGTGTTCCCCTCCTGTCCTTTCCTGGCACCCACAGAGTTAATGAGTGCCCTCCTATTAGGGGCCTGTCCCAGGAGAACAGGGCTTCCTGGAAAGTTTTACAAGGAGTGGGGCTATATTCTTCACCCAGTTTCCCCCAAGCCTCATGACCTTCAACCTTCCCACTGACCTGCTGGCTGGCCCACTAATAGATACAAGCCTGGTTGTCTGCTGAGGGCCCTGCTCTTACTCAACAGCCCAGAGGCTCTGTGCCCCAACCAGTCAGGGACAGTGTGCAGCTGCCTGCCTAAACCTGAGCAGCCCCTGACAGCTCTACCACATGCTACTCAGGCAACATGGGAAAGCCAGCATTTGCAGGGTTAAAGGCCCTCTCCATTCCCCTTCATGAAATAACCCTGGAACTAGAAGGAAGTCAGATGGGATGAAGATGAGATGATGAGAGGCAGAGTATGGACCAGGGGCTCTGGCCCCAAAGAATTGGGATAAGGGGAGGATTCTCCTCATGCGGGAAGCCTGAGCTCCACCCACAGGGTCTCTGAGAAGGGGAAGCCAGAAAGCCCAAACCTTTCTCTGATGGCATGCCCACTCCATATACTTAAACACACACATTCATAAACTCCTGATTTTTGCTCCTAAATGTATCTTGAAACATTCCCCTTGCCCTATTTCCACCACCAGGCACATCACAGCCCTACTTGTTTTTCACCTTGATCATATTTGTAGTCTCCAACCGGTCTCTCTGCCGCAGCCCTGCCTACCTCAGTCCATCCTCTGCTGTGGCTCATTCCAACCCCCTTCCAGCCTCATCTCCTGCCACACAAATGCCTTGGCGTTCCCTGAGCCTACCACCTCTTTCAGAACTCTGAGCCTTTGCACATGCTGTTCCCTCTATTTGAAATATCCTATTCCTTGGTGAACTTATATTCATGTTTTTCAGATTTAGTTTGTATTAGTTAGGATTAAGCTCAGCTGCAAGTGCCAAAAAAAGAAAAAAAGGAAAAGAAAAGGAGAAAAAGACTAGAGACTAGCTTAAACAAAATGGAATTTATTTCTCTCTCATGTAAACATAAACCACTAGGGCTCCTTCTGTCTTGTTTCATTGTCATCTTCAACAAGAGACTCATGTCCAAGTTTCAGCTGCTCCAACTCCAGCCATCAAGTCTACCTCCTAGCCAGCCAGAAGATGGAAAACAAGGGCATGTTCACTCCCTTTAAAGACACATCCCAGACATTTTTCTTAGCAGTTTTACTGACATCCCATTGGCCAGAACATAGTCAAGTGGCTACACTTAGCTGGACAGAAGGCTGGAAAATGTACTCTTTATTCTGGATGGCTATATTCCCAGCTTAAAAGAGCTGTGTTAGGAAGAAGAGAAGAATGGATTTGGGGAGACAATAGGTGGCTGTACTGCACAGCTCCAGTATCATTCTGAATGTCCTCTACTGTCTTCACCCTTCTCTGCTCTGGAGACAGACTGATTCCACATTAATCACAGTCTTCTTTACAATTAGTTTGGAGTCATGTGACTATGATAATTAGGTGAGCTACCCATTTGTAGCCACTTACAGGTGAGCTTTTGAGAATCACTCCTTCAAGTGCAAACTGTCATTTCTGCAGCCTGTCCAACAGTTTTATAAACCTTTAATTCCCTACATTAAAGTCTTACACACTTGAAATACATACAGTGGCTTCTGTTTTTCTCACTGAACCTAGATTAATATAATAGATATAGATACAAGACACACTCATGCTTCTCTAGTTGATGACATCTTATAATTTTCAGTTTTTAAATGTTTGAGTTGGTTGGAGGTATTTGTATATGTGTATGTGTTATGTGCTTTGTGTGTGGAACCATTTGAAATAATTATAGACAGAATGACACTTCACCCTAAAAACTTCTACATACATCTCCTAAGAATAAACACAATGCCATTTAACACACCTACGAAAGTTAACATAATTCTTTAATATAATCTAGTATATACTAAATATTCAAATTGTCCCAATTTTCCCCGAATGCCTTTTATTACTGTTTTCTTCTTCTTTTCTTTTAAAATTCAGAATCCAACATTTTTCATCTGGTTATTATGCCTCTTTTACCTCTTTTCAGTTAGAACAGTACTCCTCAACCCTTGACATTGATTTTTTGGAAGAGTCCAGAGATGTCTTGTAAAATGTTCTGATTTGGCTGTTTCCTCATCATTAGAATCAGATTAAAGATTTTTTTATTCAAATCTTTGGATTTGAAACAAATTCCCTAAAAGCTTGTATATACTTACATAAGAAATCAGCCTATACATGTAGATGGAATGATATAATTTTTCAATCGCTATTTTGCAACCCTCAGGTAATGTTGATTCAGGCAAGGGTAATCAATGAATGCTAAAACCATTCGGTGAAAAATTATTGGGCAAGAATGGTCACATGCCTTCAAAGTATCACCCCACAGATTACTTATCAATTACTAAACCATACAAAAGTAAAAATAATGGAGAACTCTGGTGAGTCACTTTAACCAAGTGATCAAACTTAATATCACCAAATAGAGGGACAACCTGATATTTTGTACCTCTAGATGTGACGCAGTTAGAAGGGCCAACTAGCACCTATGAAATATTTTGAACCAGATTGTTTCCACATAAACTTGTTTGCGCCTCCCTTTTCTTCACTCTTTCTCTGCTGCTTAGTATCATGGTACTTGCAGACAGCTACATTTTTTATGGTTTGCTTTTAAGATTTTTAAATTTTTATTTACTAATTGTTTTAATTGGGGAATTGAGGGGAGGAACAGTATTGGGGAAGGGGAACATTGTGTTTTTCCAGGACCAATCAGCTCCAAGTCAAGTTGTTGTCCTTCAATCTTAGTTGTGGGGGGTACAAGCTCAGCTCCAAGTCCAGTCACCGCTTTCAATCTAGTTGCAGGGAGGTGTAGTTCACCATCCTATGCCAGAGTCAAACCGGTAACCTTGCTGCACACTGAGCCATCCTGCCACCCGTCGGCAGCTCACGGTTGCTCAGCTCAAGGTGCCGTGTTCAATCTTAGTTGTAGGTGGGCACAGCCTACCATCCCATGTGGGAGTCTAACCAGAAACTTTGTTGCTAAGAGCATGTGCTCTCACCAGCTCAGCTTGGGAGCAGCTCACTGGCCCATGTGGGAATGGAACCTGCGGCCCTGTTGCCCAGAGCTCGCACTCTTAACCAACTGAGCCACTCGACCAGTCCAGGCAGCTACATTTTTCACAAGAGTTACCCACTTAGTATTTTTTTAAATGCAAGAATTGCTGATATAATCTGGGTGTAGGATAAAAAGAATTTTAAAATGTATATTTGTGAAGATTAAAATGTACCTTACTCTTTAATGAAAAGGTAACAGTAGTTTTGGTATTAAATACATGAATTAAACAAGTATATGAGGTGTGACCAAACAATACTGTGAATGATTAAATAAAAAAAATTATTACAGTAAAAGACACATTGCCATTAACCCCCCACCACCACCACCAAATACTCCTCTTCACTTCGAGCATACTTATCACATTGTTCTTTCCACTTTCTGAAGCAGTTCTGAAGGTTCTTTTTCATGAGTGTCTTTAGTTGCCCTGTCATG